TCGGGAACTGGCTGGGCATCGGTCAGTGGGTGGTGAGCAATTGCATTGTGCCTCACTTATTTTGTATATTCTTTTATCATTATTATTTTTTCCCTTCCTTTTCTGTCCTATTAAAGTGTCATTATCTCAACCCATGATTTTTACTTTTTCTTTTCCAACACAAACTATTCTATGATTCTATGAATTCTCTCCCCCATCCCACTGTGTAGAAGGGGAGTGAGCGAATGGCTGTGTGGTGTTTAGCTGCCTGCTGGGTTAAACCACAACAAAACAAAAAAGGAGAATATGAGGAAAAACTTGCTAATCGTAGGATATCTTAAATTGTTGAAGAGTTTTATGGGGTATGGTAGAAACTACATAATGTGAAGCAATTAAAATTTGCCAAATCAAAGCATTCAGAAACTCGCAGTACAATACAAAGCAGTTTTATATTGTCAGGGGGATGATCGGGTTATCTACTGCCTAGCTCTAGTTTTTAAGATCTTCATTTGAGAAAGAAAGAAATGAAATAGAATTACGTACTCAAAATATTTGTCTTGTTTTCTTTTTCAGCACAAATTGAAGTGATACCATGCAAAATTTGTGGTGATAAGTCCTCTGGAATACACTATGGAGTCATCACATGTGAAGGCTGCAAGGTATGAGATTTTAATACAGCATAGTCATCAGCATCTGCATTAGCCTCAGGCGTCTATGTACAATAATACACTCTTACACGCTTTCAAGCAAGTGGAGCCAAAGGCTGTAAAGCCTGCTGCTGATATAGATGTGTTTCATGCCGAATTTTACTAGTTGCTTTCTTTTTCATCAAATAGTCTTTAGAGTTACCTCCTCATTTGAAACATGAATTAATCGCATCTGATGCAGTATAAGTGCTGATAGAGAGGCTAGCAACTGTCACACCTGTTCTATCTTAAATCATCTTGAGAGAGGGATTTCTTATCTTGTTTCCTATGCAATCCGTGTAGCATTAAAAGTTGGTGCAGTATCTCAGTTCAATATCTTAAAAGCTTACAGGTGTCAGTTTGGTCCTATTTTATCCCCTTTGATATTCTCTGCAGGCCAAATTGTAATTGCCAAAGGAAAAAATGCCTTACATTATGAGTAGTGTAAAAGGATCCTTTGTCTTCCTTATAGGCTCCAGCACAGGGCAATTGCTGGGAATTGGAGGTTGAAAAAAAAAAAGGGGGGGGCAAAAAACCCTTCCATGCTGCTTAGTCATATTAACATATTATCCCAGGCATTAGTTCAAATAACACAAATCAGACCCCAAGCCAAGAGAAGAAAGGCTTCAGTTTTCAACTTTAAAAATACTCTGTGATTTTATTATCTAAGGAATTATATCATTACTCATGGAAAACCAGACTTTCATACTACATGTTGGTATTTCAGCTTTGACTGTAAATGTGAAATTTCAAAGAAGGAAAGGCTGCATCTCTGATTTCTTCTATGTGGAAACACACGAACTGGTACATTTGAAAGTGGGTGCATATTTGTAGAGTGAAATAGCAAGTCTGTATTTACTTAATACTTTAAGAAATTTTAGAACATCTGAAAAATCTGAAAATTTGGCTGCACCCATTCCCAAAAGAAAGCTTCTAATGCCAACACATAAAGAAACAATACAGTGTCAAAGATCAGTTTTCTTTCAGAAACATTAACAATTGGAACAACCCTCAGTGTGTCACTGTCTTGTTGTGACACTGGACTAGAAATAAGCATCTCCTTATGATGATCACATGAAACAGGATTAGACTAATTGATCTGATACTCCAGAACTGGCACAAAAGCTACAGGAGAAAAATGCTTTCAGCAGAAAAACAGCGTCTTGTCTTGGTACTCAGCGCCCACAGAGCAGTTAGGGGTAGAGTCTCCTGTAGATGTGATTAGGGTTAATGCTGGCCCTTGAGTGTGCCTCAAGAGGAGATGATACCCCTCAGCTCTGTGTGTAGACTGCTTATTGAGATAAAGAGCTTCTCTTCCACTTACGACAGTTTTAACCCTATTGTTTTTGTGCCAGTTTTGCGGTATCAGATAAATTAGTCTAATCTTGTTTTGTGAGCCTGTTGTGAAAAAAGATGTCAGTTTTCACGTCGGGTCCGATAGGAGGCATCTGAGTCAGTCAGAGCTCTCTTTTAAGGTAAGCGCTGTCTCGGGCAGTGCAACTCTTCTCTTCATTGCCCAGCAATTAAATAACTATTTGCTTAGCCCGCATACTAATAACTTGTCATTTCTGGCTCCTCTTGTCTGAATGCATTAGAAATCTGAATTAATTAAGAGGGAGACCACGTGTGGAAGAAAGAGGTGAGAACCGCTCCACAAGCATGCACACACATTGAGCCAGGCACCAGACAGCCGCAGCATTTCAGAACACAGCGTCCAAGGATTGTACTGCCAGTGGTAGTGCTACAAACTTCAAGGGACAGGAAATCCTTTAACTCTCTGTCCCTACATTAGCTATGCCACTATAAATGCGTATTATAAGTGCCTAAGGGGGCATCATAAATATTAGTGCTGTTTTGTGTGCATGCCTGCATACGCTGAATAACGTGCTGGACCCGTTGAAGAAAATGGTGGCTCTGCCACTATCATCACTGGAGTGAAACCTGAAGATAGGTTTCCATCCCGTCTGTCTCTGTGGCTCCTTCTTTTGCTGAGAAGCCTTTTATCATCTCTCCTGCCTACCCCCAAAGTATTTGCTACCACTCTTTTGTCACGATTTAGACAGCAGTTCATGTGACCATTTCCCTTCTCAGACTGACTGTCAGTGATGGATAAAGTGATTTGTTCAAGATGCAGAAAGACTTGTCAGAGTTGGGAATATTGGGAAACCTGTCTTTAAGACCATAGCTCCTCAGTAATGAACTGCATCCTCCTTCTCTCAAATGGAATTATTCTCAGTAAATATATCAAATATTATATAAAGATCCCCTAAAAATGAAATGGAAGGATTGTCTGTACTTTGAAAGACAACATTCAGATCTTATGCAGGAGAAAGAGAGTACAAAAGTCTCCTTGTAAAAATAAATTACCTGTTGTAGATTAATTTTATTGTGTAACCCTTGATTTTTTCCTAAGAGGGGCAAAGAAGGAACAAACAAATTCTTCTGAGATGAGATCAACCTTAATGGGAAAAAACAGCACTACAGCATAAGGCACAGTCAATGCTAGATGGTTGTGTGGGGTTTTTTAACATTATTTAATTCATTTGTTCTCTCAAATCCATATCCACATAGGAGCTGCTAAAATCTAAACTTTTAAACCAAAAAATCCTTTGCATGTCAAAAACAATACTGGCTGTAAAGTTCAGCAAATAGAGTAGAAGTATCTGCAATTAGCATCCATTTAGCCTTAAATTAAACTCTCCACAGTTTCAGGAAAGTTTTGGTCAGCTAGGATCAGATAAGTCCCCACCAGACTTTTTCTGAGAGTTCCCGTAAAGGACATCCATGTTCTCAAAACTACAAATCATAAAACTTAATTTAGTTTTTAGATATACTATAATCACTGATAAAACCATCATGGGCCGGATGAAGTGAGTCTCTCTATGCTTGACCTCAGGAACTAGCGCTGCCGATGTCCTTGGTGGGACACCATGCCTGTCGCCTGTTGTTACTGACACCCCACACCATCCTCATTGGGTTCACCAGGACTTGAGTGAGAATTCAGGCACTACCCGTAGCAAGTGAATTGAGCCCTGTAACACTGTCGCCTTGTTGCTTCCCCACTCTCGTTCCTCCAAAACACACGGCTGCCACGATTTCCATTGCTCGGTATTACCGTCTGTCAGCCTGTACGGAGATAACACTGGTTCTGCCTGATAAATGAAGTCAGCTCTTGCTTTCTGGCTCCATTCAGAGCTGTTTGCAAAGCAGCCCAGAAAGGCACAACCACTTTGGCATCACTTCTGGTGACAAGTGTAACTGCAGTAATGATGCTTTCTGCCCTTTTTCTCCTCATGGCTTCCTGCGGTGGCTAGGCTGTCCTTCAGCTCTCCCACCACACAACCCTGCAGCTGCCTGCATCTAAAGATGCCAAAGTAGCCAAGGAACTTCTCTTCTTTGTTTCTCTCTTTCTGGACTTGCTGTTCCTCCTGTCCTTTATTTTACAGGAAAGTAAGGAATATCGTAAAATGCCGTCTCCCTCTCTCTTTCTTTCTCTAATCCTCAACCCCTGGTTTCATTCCTCTTGTCACCTCTGCCATTTCATGTCACTTTTACCATAATGGTACCTCTCAGTGTCATTCGTAGCAGCTGGGAGCTCGTAAGGCCTTAGGTATGGGTTAACACTCTCCTTCGAGCCTTCTGATCTTTAACCAAATAGCCCGCAACTGGCCAGAAAGACCTTCTAGGAGATAGAATAACTACACATTTTTACATAGATAAAATGGATAATGTTATATTCCATTGAAATGGAAAATGTCATTACTTTCTCATGGTAGTGTCTAAAGGTGTTGCTTTCTCCTTTGTGTGTGGGCTTTACTTGATACAGTCATTAAATCCTAGTGCTTTTGTGATGCTTGAATTTGAATTACTTTTCACTCCTGAAGTGTATGGTCCCTCCAGATCAGATCAACATTTGCCAGGTTAAATTCAACAGCAGGCTTCAGCTTCTAAGGCTACACATAGCCAGTGCCGGTTATTAGCAGGCTCTTTCATCAAAGGAAGAAAATAGTCAGAACAAGTACTTTTAAGTCATCTGTTTACAAATGCTGACAAGCTTTTCCTCTATTAGGAGCAAGCATTAGATGATACATGGTCTTCATTGCACAATAAGAATGCATTCTATAACATTATTGTTTGCGTTTTAACAAAGTAGAATTACATTCTTTACAGAATAAAGCACAATTCTTCTTATTATAAGTAAATGTTCTTTAATTTCACTATACAGGATCAACACATCTGCAAAGCCATAGCATAAATAGCATTGCACTAAATAAGAGTTTATTGTAGTCGTTTACATGGTTCTCTGTGTGTGTGTGTGTGTGTGCGCACATATATGCACATGGTAATACTCGGTCTCTCTTGCTTTCTTGCCCCTAGGGATTCTTTCGGAGGAGTCAGCAGAACAATGCCTCCTACTCCTGCCCAAGGCAGAGAAACTGTTTAATTGACAGAACCAACAGAAATCGTTGCCAACACTGCCGACTGCAGAAATGTCTTGCCCTGGGAATGTCTCGAGATGGTAAGGAGTCAGATTCCTGCTTCACGCCTAAATCCTTTGAAACTCTTCTTCACTGCTGACTTACTTAAACTCCCTGTAGATTTCTGGAAAAAGAGAGAGGAGAAGCTTCTTGCTTTGTAATGCACACACTGTGAGACAAGGATCTTTGCCATTCAGTTAACAAAGGAGGCTATTTTCATGGGGAGGGTGGGGAAATCACAAACTGGAGAGCAGTATTAGTTTGGAACAGAAGGAGTCAGAAGTGAAATGTGTTGTTCTGATCAAAAGCACAAAAAGGTCACCTCTGGAGAGGTGGATTTATATTCCAGTTTAGATAACCTCTTATATTAAGCATTAACATTGATCTTAACATTAAATATTGATGTGTGAAAGCATCCCTTTCCTTGAGATCTCTAAAGGTCTGTGACAATAAACAGGCAGTTAAGAAGACATTTACACCTTGATAGCATTGGGGGTTTCTATTTGTTTTATTCAGAGCACTTGACCAAATATTTCGCATTGCTAAAAAAACATTTCTTTTACCTGTGCGTTGCTCCCTATAGGGTCTATAAAAGAAACGTTTCATAGTTGAGCACTGAAAATGGACACTATGCCAGAGGAAAGCTCCACAGTATATCCAATAGCTGTATCCTGTGGTCTTTGCAGAGCTCTGGTCCGCCTTCCAAGCTGTGGTGTGACAAGCCGTGATCTGTAGGCTGAGAATGTAGCTGCAGACACATCAGAGCTGCAGGTGGTGGGAGGCTTGGGCAAGGCTGCCCACAGCCAACCTGCCCCAATCACCACTGCTCGTGTAGGGGGTTTCCAGCTCACAGACATGTTTTAAATGGTCAGGAAGTATGAGAAGAAAATGTTCTATTTTTGAAGGCAGGTTATATTTATTTCAATTGTCTGGCAACAGTTTTCTGTCTTAGAAAGTTTACACAAAATGTGTCATTTGAAATTAACAGTCATTGATGGAGAAGTTACTTAAAGAGCTATTTCTTTAGATGGTCCACAGATTATAAACATGTTTTCAATTTGGACTGTAATAGGTCTTTTCCTACCTCAGTGTGTCTCATGTCTCACTGAAACAACTTGCTCACCAGTCTCACCAGTCTGGGAGGGGCCTTGCAGTCTAGCCTGTGATCTGTGAACTCTTTTTGGTCCTAGCATGCAGCTTACTTGATGCCTTAGCACCTGATTCTTCCCGGAGGAGATTAAAGTAGTAACATTTCAGTAATATAACAGCACATGCTTTCCTCCTAAAAGTAATATCTTCCAATGATTTGAGGTATCACAGGGGCATTTTAATGTGACTGACAGCCCTGTCTTCCCAACCTGTAATTCAGGGACCACTGCATACAGACAAAGGGAGTGATTCTTCTGACAGCATCGCTTTCTTCTCTCATTGTTTATGTAAGGTTGTTTATACCTAACAATATTAAGAGCTCTTGCAAGTTTAAAATAGGCTGTATGGACTTTTAACAGAGAAACTGAATGTGATTTTTACCTCTCAGCCATGTAACAGATTCATTTTTATCATGCAGAGGCAGGATGCTAATTGACAGCAGCTGGAGAATCCAATTAATGAATATATAATGAGAATAAACAGTGGGTGTTTGTTTTTATTACTGAGGCTCTAAATTTGAAGAAAACACACAGTTGCATTTTTCAAAATACAGTCATTGTATATTGTCTGTAAGGGTGTGCAGTGCACCATGGTCTGATTCCAGGGGCGGGCTGTGTTTGTGTGAGGTAGCTTGCAGCCTGTGTGAAGGGCTGCAAGCAAGCTGAGGTTGGCAACAAGAAAAAAAAACTCTTAGTGTAAAAAAGTGCAAATAAATTGAAGAGGCTGCCATCTCCTTGGTATTCTGGCACTGCCATTTCATATTACACTCTTCCTTTTCTGTTCTTTTTCCTGCTTGAAGGTTTTCACATTCATCCACATGTGTAGGCTCAGACTCTTCTGGAGGGCTATAGCTGGGGTAGCAAAAATGAGAGCCAAGCCCATCCTATGCTAATAAATGTAATGATTCTGAATTGATCCCAATTACAGATGGACTGGAAATACTCGGCATTGGAAAGTACACCTCATCATATGTAGAAATTAGTATTTCCAGAGCAATGTCCTCTTATCTGTGCTCTGATAAATTCTGCTGAATGTATCCCTCATTTGTTTTAGAGCACAATTAACAGCTACCTCTGCTCTGAGATCCCAAGATCTAGCCCAGTAGAAATTATAGAGAGGTGGGGTGGGGGAAGATAATCAGCTATGACCCACTGTATATGAAGGCTGTGGATTTACTCCACCTAGTTCCACAGCAATCAGCCTGTCATTTTTGAAAATTTCGATCTCAGTGTAATGAACCCTCTTCCTGGAGAGAGTAGTTTGGACTCTGATGTTTTCGTCCCTTTCTCATCAGAAGGAATGCATGGATTTGTGCATGGAGATTATGTAAATTGATTGTGTAAATCCCTGAGACTTTCCTCTGTGGAAAAGATGACATTCATTTGTGCTGTTTACCTTCAAATCTGTTATTTTCCTCTAGGTTCTAACTCTAACCTGTAAGATTTCTTTTTTTTAAAGTGTGAAGATAACACCCCATTGAAAGGATGCGATAATAGGGCTCTAGGGCTTGTTTTCATCCAGAGTACTAATCCTATTAGTGCACTGTTTAAAGGTTTGTGAAAAGTTGGTAAATTACATGGGATATGAATCTACAGACTGTACATTTCATACAGCTCTGGGTTGTTGTTCAGTGAACACAGAGATATAAAAGGGTGCATGGTCTTTCTAACATTCACAGTGTGAAATGAGTTGCTTGACTGAGGCCCTCCTGTCAAATAGGAGTCATTGTCGTCACCTTGTAAATCCAAGCACACAATACTTTTTCCTTTGTGAGACACATATGGTGTAAAGCTTTGCATCCTCTCTCATTTCCACAGAAAAAGATAAGTTTCCACAGCAAAAGTAACGCTGAAAGTAAATATCAAAAGAGTGGTGGGGTTGAGGGGACTCAAGAAAAAATGAAAGATGACAATGGTTCGCATTATGCTTTGCTTTTCAGCTGTGAAGTTTGGAAGAATGTCCAAAAAGCAGAGGGATAGCTTGTACGCTGAAGTGCAGAAGCACCAGCAGCGACTGCAGGAACAGCGGCAGCAGCAGAGCGGCGAGGCAGAAGCCCTCGCCAGGGTTTACAGCAACAGCATCAGCAATGGCTTGAGCAACCTGAATAATGAAACTGGCAGCACCTACTCAAACGGGCACATCATCGACCTGCCGAAGTCTGAGGGTTATTATAATGTGGATTCTGCCCAGCCTTCCCCAGACCAGTCTGGGTTAGACATGACTGGAATCAAACAGATAAAGCAGGAACCTATCTATGACCTCACCTCTGTACCAAACTTGTTTACCTATAGCTCTTTCAACAATGGGCAATTAGCTCCGGGGATATCCATGACTGAAATAGGTAAGGAAAATTCTTATTCCTCTAGTGTAATGTGTATATATAATGTGTCTTCATTAAAATATCATATAGGCATTCCATACACAGGTACACAATAATTACATGTTCACAATTGTGTCTATGTGCACACACATACAGGGAGTAAAGGAAAGAAAATCAGTCTGGCAATAATTGACACAATATCGAGACAGTTCTGTTTTTACCAAAATCTACATATTATGCAGTTTCTTAAATTCAGCAGCTAATGTTCTGTTTATGAAATAGGAGCACCAAGGCAGGTGATGAATCAGTCAGAACCAAGTGATAATTAGTAGCGGGGAGCTTGTTTCAAATGAGCTCATTACTAACAGGGTTAAATGATCTCTTCAGCTAGCCATCCGTATTCTTGTCAACACCAGAATCCCCATGGCAGCTAATTCTAGGGTATTTATTATTGTCAAAAAGTACCATCTCGCTACTTCTGGTGTGTGGATGTACATGCAGAGCAAGTTCACTGAATTCATGAGGTGCACAAACTCTGAATGTAGTTGCATGGATACCCCTGCTTCTCTACTTGAATGCCTTGGAGAGCCTGTTCCTTGATTTCTTCTTTGAAAAGTAGCAAAGAGACCTCTCTGTGAGATAAGAGGGTTTGAAATGCAACGGCTAATGGTGATTCTTCTCTAAGGAGGATTTCTGTTCATCTAATGCCTCTAGTCATACCTCTCCAACGCAACTGGAAGTACTACTTCTATTATAAAGAAATAACATGAAAGAAGATTGGCACCCTAATTAGATACTTCCCACCTCAACAAGTGAAGTACGCTGAGTCAGTTGTGGTTGAGAATATAATCAAAGGGTACCACTTTGTTAATGGAATTTAATTAAAAAGAAAGAAGAAAAAAAAAAAAAAGATTATATTCGAGAGCACCCGTAACAAACGAATTAATGTCACACCATAAAAAGCTATAGTTCTGGCCTGGCCTTGCTGCCTCATGGATGTACACTGAGATGTGTAAATGTATGTGTGTACTCAGACCTACTGAGGGCCCTGGAGATGTGGCATGCACTTGATATATATTGCAGAAAGGGTGTATGTAGTAGTTACTGTCTGATAAAAAAATAAAAATGCAGCTAGAATCTGTAGCATGTTTTCTGCCCATGGATGCTCATGTGCAGGAAGCTGTGTAAGAAATTGTGTGCTTTAGTTGTGAATTGTGTAGGGGAAAGTTATGCTTTTCTGCCACTCTGTTTAGGGGACATGTTTTGTTACCACTTTTGGCCTAGCCTGCCATCCAGTGAAGTCCTACACGTACAGCATAGCACTACAGAAGATTAGTGAGGAACATCTGCTCCAACTTCCCTCTCGGCTCTTGTGGCCATATGAATGTTACTCACGTGTGGCTTGTGCAAACCTCAGTCCTGCAACAGTGATTCACAGTACTCCAAACCAGCTGAGAGACAATTTAAACAGTCATAAGAGCTGTTTCCCTGCAACACCCTGTACCAAAGGGAAATGTTCCCAGAGAGACTCAGAGGAGGTGCGAGAAATATGACAATTCTGGTGGTCCATGAATTAGGGTTTGTGCTTGTTACAAAAGTGAGCCCAAAGAGAGAATATGGTCACGGGACTGTATCCGTAGTGGCTAAAGGATCCCACTGAAGTCAATGGGAATTTTTGACTCATGGACCTTTACAGAATCATTTAACTTTTATCTCTTGCAGGATCGCTTAGAAATAATGCATCATTCTTAAATTTTCACCCATCTTTTTTCTCTCCTAACCCTAAACCAGCCAGCCCTAAACCCACCCCACATTTCCTCTGTCATCTGGCCAGTGTTCCCCTTCTGGAGCACACAAAGCAGGGAAAACCCCAGAGCACAGGGAGCAGGACATAGCAAAGGGCCTATTTCTGAGCTGCAGCAAAATTCAGGTGCTGGGATTTACCTCTCTTCCTTTTGAAATTGGAACTGGGGCTCCTAAATTGCTAGAATTTTACCCAAGTACTGCTGTATGTCATTTGTGGCACCTACAGCAGAGAGGTAAGGGTGTTAGTGAGAGATAATGTAGTATAACGGATCAGCTGACACAGCTGAAAAAATGGAAGAGGTGTACCATAAAACACAGGGATTAGTGCACAGGCAAATTATATTTTCAGTGTTTAAAAACAAACAGAAAATGCCTCTTAATGCTGCAGTGGATTGTTGGACCATCTGTAAAGCTGCAGTCTTGCAGTCAAAGCAGGAAAACTCTAAGCACTGGGATGCATTGATTTTGTATTACAGCGTGCTTAAATTTCACCTCAACATTTTATTTTACTTACTCCAGTGAGATTTAGGAATAAGCTCAACTCACGTTAAATAGAAGTTACTGCCTTAACAGTTAGATGAAATCATAGAGAATATATAGGAGATGGAAAAGCTATACTGCATTGATCCTCGTGCCTGATAGAAATGTCTTTAAACTACCTTGTCTAGTGATATACTGAACCATTGCTTGAAGTATTGCAGATCATGTTAGTTCTCTTCCTCACTGAAGACTTTCTACCAGATTCAAATATCCAGTCTTAGTTTTCTTCTGGTCTTTATATTCTTCAAATACATCTATTTTTTTAAGCACAACCTCACTAGCCACTTGCCTGATCTTGAGTGCAACCCTCTTAATTTTTTCCTCATAAATGAATGTGTGAGACTCCTTCCATCCTTGAGCTCCTAAAAGTTGCTGCAAGCTCTCCAAAGGACAGAATTCTTCACAGGCAGCCCAGAACCAAAGTAGTCTGCAGCTTCTGCATCACATGCCAACCAATATCCAGTTCACTTATTCCTTCAGTGTTACTGCTTTGCTTGTTTCTCACGCAAATCTGTCCTGTATAGGGCAGTTTTTATTAAGATACCTCTGACCCCACATTTCCAAGTTTGAATCCCATTTTCTCTTTCTTTTTTTTTAACTTTTACAATCCTGTTACATTATGTCTCAGCCCCCATTGATGCTTTGTGACTTCTTTCAGTTTAGAATTATCTCTTCATTTAATTAGCATGCTGTGAACCCTCTCTTTCAGATTATTAATGAAAATGCTAAATGCTTGTAAAACAAGTTCTAACAATGGTCCCTGCTGCACCTGACTAAACAACTTGCTGCAATTGCATAAATTACTTTAGTATTTATTGTTTGCTTGCTATCCAACAGTAAGGTTCTCTCAAAAATCCAAATAACAAGTCTTCATTTCCCTGTCAGTTTGATTCAGTTATAAAAATAATATTTTCTAAGATACTCTATGACATAATTTACACATCATTTGCATCCTTTTCTTCACATGTTAATTTTCTAATTCCACCAAAAAGGAATCAAAATGGTCAGGCCTACTTTGATCTTTAATAGTTCTGCGCTTTAATTTGAATGTGAAAGTGCTCTTTTTCCTGAACATACCTTCATCTACAGTAGACTTTGTAGTGGAAATGGAAATTGTTCAACTTAACAGTTTTGAAATTCAAAATTTTTACACAGCACATGTTTCAACACATAGTATTAGAATGCCACAGCAAGCAAAATATAGCTTATCTGCATTACATGCTTACTAGTATCTCTAAATAATGTACTAGGAAATAGGTGTAGGAGAGAGAGGTGCTGACAAATTAAAGTTGTATAGGGCTCCTTCACATCTATTTAGTACTAGTATATTCCTCAAAATGAGTTGAACAGTCCAGGGTACAACTGCACATTATCTGATCACTATGAGAAGCAAGAGAGGTAATGTCTCCTGTGGAAGAGAGGGCTAAGTATAAGAAAGAGCAGTTTCAGATACAGACACAAATTTCTCATGTAACTGCCAGAGCTTACAATGGAGGAAAGCTGGATAAAATCAGGTAGTTCCCCATTAGGCAGAACAGTGCCTTAGGCTCAGCCCTGGTCAGTATTCCAGTTCCTGTTATAAAAAGAAAATCAAAGCATAAAGAAATCAGTCCAAAGCTCGTAAATAAGCATACAGGAGCAAAGCCTCAGCTTCGCATGGGCTGCGTTTCCAGACCAGCTCCTTTTTCTTTTAAGGGAGGTATTTTCATCCTTAACTCAAGGCATCTTATTGGAGACTTGATCTAGATTTGTAGCCAAGTGGGTAGAGCACAAAGTAGGTCAGATGCAGCGACCAGATGGATTGGGCAGGCTCTTTCTCTACCTGTGCTGCTGTCCACGGGTGGCATGACCCAGGTGTGTCCCACCAGCCAGCAATGCTGCCAGCGCAGGAGGCGCCCATGGCCTGAGGGTGCATGCTGCCAGGGACCCCATGGCGTGGTTCTGTTTCTCCTTGACCACCGTGCCATCTGCACATCTGGAAAGGCAGAAATTCCTCACATTGTCATGGGAGCTCAAACCGTGGGGTGAAATCTGCTCTTGGAGTCGAAAGCGAGAATTTGGTTATTTGCAGAATGGCTTGCTCCTCACAGAGAGAGTCACAGAGGTCAGCTGGTGCTTGGGAAATCCCAAAGGGAGAAGGGAGCTCCATTTCCTGACCCTGGTAGCCCCACAGAGGGACAGCAACATTTGCTCCCAAGTGTGATTTTAAATTAGCAGGTATTAAAGGCTTATTTTTAGACTTGGTCAAATTAAAGACCATCTTGTTTAAATATATGTGCATAATATTATCTGTCACTGAGCTAAGCATTGCATTTTCCTCACAAAGTATGTGGCTCAAATGTTAGCCTGTAAAAGTTAACGGAAAGGTTTCCCTGCCTTGACTGCAGTTGAGATTACCAGCCTATGATTTCTTAAGATGAGAAAAAATTATTAGTGAACACTGTTGTGGAGAAAACAGATTGGTTAAGGGTTCACTCAGGACAAATTGAAGAGCGCCCTATAGCTGTGTGTATTTAGGTAGCCAATAAGGCACCACTAGAGCGTACAGGAGGTCACATAACCCAGCCTCTGTAATTACAGAAGAAAGTGTTGCTTAGGTATATTTACATGGCATTTCTTCAACATCGGCTCTATTTGAAGGTACCCAATGGCTTGGAGAGCTTACATTTCTACCA